GGAAGAAAATACCATTATTTTAGATAAATAGCATAAAATAAGATTACACTATCAATCATTAAAAAATGTATTTTCAAAATATATATGTGAATGTTATGAATTTCAAAGTAATTTGCACTGTTCAGTTGGATTCCAAACATTGTGGAAGTAGTCTGTATTTTAGTTTTCCCTACTCTATCTTTTCCCTTCCTTCTTAGTTTTTGCTGAACTGTATTTTTTATTTCAAAATGTGTTGTCTCTCCCATAAATATTCATTCGGTTTGTATATTTTTCATTTTAGAATTTTTAGAATATGTAAGAAATAATCACTTATGAATTTTCTTTTTTTTCTATTTCAGTGAACTACCTACACAGAATTTTATCTCAATTGCTATAAAAATTATTCAAAATTACAAAAATATTTAAAACATTATTGCCTTTGATAGCCTTAAAATATTTTTCCCTAGTCTATAATTACTCATCCTTATAATCACCTTAATAGTAACTAAGATATTTAATTTTTCCTCAGGATTAGCCTCATTCTATAGCTATTTATACATGTTTCAGGCCTAATTTGCAATATAATTTTTATATAATTGTCATTTCAAATACATTTTTACCATCCTTTAAAAATGTTTCTTGTAACTGCTTAGGAATGAATACATTTAAGTATTACTTCATCTTTCTAAAATGTTCAATTAAAAAATTTCAAAAATTTTCTCAAGGGGCACAGCAAAAATGTGACTATGCAATGCACATAATTTAGCAGACTGTTGGTCAGGGAACAAGCACTCTGATTTATTTGCATTCTAAGGACTTCATTGATTTTCCTATGAGGCTTATACACAACAATTTTTGATATTGTTTTTGTTTTTCATTAGTTTGAATATAGGTAATTAAGTTTCAGTCTTAAAGGGGGAAAGGGCATTGGAAGGAAATAGTTCAAAGTGCAGAAGAGTCTGTTGTTTCCATGAATTTCTGGTCCCCTTTCATTGTGTCCACATGCTCATGAACCCCTTGTTCTGATATCATTACTGATCATATTAGTTGTTTGCTCAATGATATGTTTTATTATTCTTTGTCAATCAAAAATTCAAGGAGAAGGCAAAACAGGGGATAAAATTTGAGGTATTTTATTAAAGTCTTGGAATGAGAATTAGAGTTCAATTTTCATCAAGTGATCTGCTTTCTAATTATAACTTTGTTCTTAAAATTACAAGAAAACATATTTCCTTATCCCCACTCTTTCCTCTACCTTTTGAGCTATGAAATTCTTTACATCTTTTAAAATAATTTTTGCAAATTGCATAGCATACAGAATGTATTTTGCAGGTGGACATCCTTTTGGAATCTCACCTTGTGACTTTATTCTAATTATAAATTATTGGTTTTTATAAATCATAGAAACTAATTTTCAAAATTTATTTGATTATCTTATAAAACATCATATGCTTTAAGAAACCTAAGCTTTGGAGCAAAACTTGCACTATACACTTGCTCTTTTTATTTTCCAGTTTCATTGAAAAGTAATTGACATACATCATGCTCTTCTAATGTCTTTATTCCCATTTGCTGACTTGGCATCTGAAAATTTTTAGTTTGCACTGGGAAAGTAGCTGGAATGCACTCCACAGGGCAGAAGAATGTGCTGTCATCTTATACAATACTATGTGATGTCAAGGTCACAGTGAAGAAAAATGTTTCAAATTATCAATAGATGACTTGGTTGCCACGATGTCCAAATAAAAGTCAGTTGGATTGCTCTCTGGGTCTCTCCTACCCACTTAGTTTTTGTTGCTAAAATTTGTTATTGTAGCATTTTTCCCTTTTCCAAGATTTATGGATATTCATAAGGCCACATAAAAAGAGACCTCCAGAGAGAGCACTGTAGCCTATTCCTGTGGCTTATTTAAAAGAACTTTAATTTACAGTGAGTTTAACTTAACCATGTCCTTTATTCTTTAAGGTGAATTTGGAGACCATGGCATGTCAAAGAAATGAGGGGCCATCTATCAACTTATAGTGAGGATGAGAAGAATTGGATCTAGTATATTAGTGTTTAAAGTTGCAGATACTTGACTTTTTTAAAAAATTGTATTATTTAATTATTTTAATTTGGTGGGGGTAAGAGAGGTAATTAAGTTTATTTATTTTTAGAGGAGGTACTGAGGATTGAACCCAGGACCTCCCGTGTTCTAAGCACACACTCTACTGCTTGAGATATACCCTCCCCGCCCTGCAGACACTTGACTTGGTGCACAGTGAATATTA